GGAGTTGGGGAGGGAGGGACAGGTAGAAAGAACAGGTAAGATTAGCGGTGAGGCCAGAAGACAAAGAAAGATCACACAAACTCTAAGAAGTTGTTAAAGGCAAGAGAAAATGGTAGAATGAAAGAACAAAGATGTGAATAGAACCACCTAACAGCAGCAGGGAGGCTAGATACCAAATTTACTTTCCTTTAAACCTAATGATAATCAAGAGAAGGAAAAAGAGAAGAAAAGAACAGTAAGGGAGAAATCCGGCTTCAGTGCAGAAAGAAACAAATGGGGAGATGAGGGGCAATGTGGGACAGTGAGAGAATGAGAGAGAGAGAGAAAGAAAAGATAAAAGAAAGAAAAGTAAAACTGAAGAGTAGGAAAAAAAGTAAAAATTAAGAATTAAAAATAAGGAAAAAAAATTTTTTTTTTCTTTTTTGCAAATAGCAATAGACATTATGGGCCTCCTTCAGGGTATGTCTCTGCTTTCACAGTACGCAGTGTAGGAATCCGCGTGCATATATGAGTCAATGAGTCTCAGCAAGGCAGCAGCAGACCAAGTTCGGTGGTCTGATGTGCCTTTATTGTAGAGGTTCTCTTTACTTTTCTGTTGAGCTTCAGTTTTCTTCCAGAAGCCTGAGAAGCCCTCTTTCTGTTACTAACTTCTGCTCTATCTTGTGGCGCTCAGGACAAGGGTCTTTATAGTCTCCTGTGCCTCTGTAGTGTGGGACGAGGTAGGAAAAAAGCCAGAAGGTAGGTGGTGCACGGGGCGGGGGGGGCACACGGGACGACCACGTAAGGGACGGGACGGGACTGAGCGTTGGAGGAGCCCGCGCGGCTAAGCGGACCTCACCGTGCCGTGGGTGTGGCCCGGGATGGCCGCAGGAACCCCAAGCTGCTTGCCTTGTCTTACCCGGCTGGTCGCGGGTCGCCTCTTTGGGAGCATCAGGTGGGGGTGGGGCTGCAAGACGCCTCTGCGACCTCACAGTGGTGATAAATTCTAAGAGGAAAACTAAATTAGGACAAGGAAAATGGGAGTGACTGGAAGGAAGTGCTGTGTAGATAGAATTTTGGGGGAACTCTCTCTGATGTAGTGACAACTGAACACAGACAGGAATAGACCCAGGGAGGGAGCCATATGGGCGTCTGGGAGGAAAGCCTTCCAGGTAGAAGGAAAAGCAAAAGCAATGGCCATGAAGGATGAGTGGACAAAGTGTTTAAGGAATAATATAGGGATTCGTGTGACCAGGGAGGAGTGAGCCAAAGGGAAAAGAGGAGCAAATGAGATCAAAGTGTAGGCAGGGCCCAGATCATAGACTGCTTTGTTGGCCACAGGATAGACTTTAGATTTTCTTGCATTTGGGATATGTGTCCTTAATATAAGTTAAGATTTCCAAGGTTAAGTTCAGCATTGGGGTTTAATTCACGTCTTGGAAAAGATAAGGCTGCCCCACATAAGCAGGGTATGGAGATTGTAAAGAGCAATAGATGTATCTGTGAATCTCACACAAGTGACATAGAACCGGGATGTCATTTTTTTTCTTCAACTCTCCCTTCTCAACATTTTGTTCTTCACCAAAAGAGAAACTGAAGAAGGAAAGAGGAATGGCTGTTGGATTCTGTAAAGTTATGTCCCAGGTAAGTTGATGCTTTTAGTTTGTTTTCATACATTTCACCTAATTTTTCAAGACCTTGGGAACAGATGAAGAGTGGAGACCATGAGGCTAGCCTTAAAATAATGTAGTCAGTAGCCACATATGACTACTTTGAATTGAGATATGCTATAGCTAGAAAATGATTACTAGCTTTTGTAGATTCAGTATAAAAATGAGTGTAAAATATCTCACTATTAATTTTTTATATTGATTACATATTGAAGTAACATTTTTGATAAATTGGGTTAAAAATAGTATTAAATTATTTTCATTTATTTCTGTTTACTTTTTAATGTGACTATTGGAAGACTTAAAATTACATATGTGGCTTGCATATTTCTATTGGATGTCACTGTTCTAGACACTCTTTGGAAGCATTTTGTTATTAAGAGGAGTAGAGGAATGGGACAGTAGTAGAGTATAACATGGAAGGGAACTTATTTATCCATGTATTTCATTATAATATAGAAGATATTGCATTGGTTTTTGGATAGATTAGAAGGATCCAGTAGAGTGAGAAATGTGATACAAGGGAGACCGTGTCCTGGTGTGAACAAGTAGAGGGATTGGTCTTAGGAGAATAGATTTTATCCTTAATAACAGAAGGAAGGCATAATATATGAGTAGAGGTATAGGTCAGTAAATATGTAGGGTGGCAGGAGGATAATGAAGTTCAAAGTGGGAATGAGGAGTTGGTAGCGGTTTGAGAAACAGAAGTAATGATGAAGTAGTTATATGGACAGGAGAAGAATGAATGTTTTAGGGATGTCTTGGAGAGTCTTAACAGTGCTTTTGATAAATGTGTGGTCATATGTTAGAAATTAACATGTATATCGGGCTTCCATCAAGAACCTCAAAGAATTATTTTTGAGACAGCAGGATATAGAGAAACCACAAAGAACAGTGCTGTACCCTGGGACTCAAAAGAGTGGAGATATTTACCGAGTCTAGGCCTGAACTGACACAGAGAGCTAGATGCAGAGGGCCCTGGCAGGCACCGTGAGCTATGACTGAAGGACAGAGACCACCCAGGATGGTGCTTCAGGGATGGATCTAAGGGGAATAAATATATTGCTTTACTCACCTCCCTCCCATCTCTTTCATGTGGCTGGAGCCAAATGAAAATAGGGTGGGGCAAGGGAGCTGATTAATGCAGTCAATATGTCAGCCTCATAGGACACGGGAAGAGAAGAGGGGCACATGGAAGTTATATAACATTGTGTATTGCAAGCTCAAGGACCCAAGTTCGATCCCTGGTACCAAAAAAAAAAAAATTGTGTACTTGTGCAATTTTTTTTCCTTCAGGACACATTCTGCCTTATTCTATAATGTTGAATAACTATATTTGATGTTTTGTTGTTTTTTATAAAAATTGAGTACATACTCTACGAACTGGAATGCTATCATTTTGAAGCATTGAGTACTTTTCCTTCAAATGAATATATTATAGAAAGTGTACCTTCCTTTTTTCGTACTGGAGATTAAGCTTAGGGCCTTTGTACTGAACTACATCACCAGACCTTTTTATTTTTTATTTTGAGACAGGGTTTTACTAAGTTGCCTAGGCTGGGCTCAAACTTGCACTCTCCCAGAGTGCTAGGATTAGAGGCATGTGCTACCACACCTAGGTGAAACCACCTTATATTCACCAAATAACAAATATTTATGTATATGTGGTAAGTTTTGTAATCAGCACTGGATATGCATCAGCTTAAAACACAGATATCCTTCCCCTTCCCCTTATGCAGCTTATAGTTCAGTGCTGTAGACTAAGCTGTTTTTTTTTTTTTTTTTTTTTTTGTGGTACCGGGGATCGAACTCAGGACCTTGTGCTTGTGAGGCAGGCGTGGCGCCACTGAGCTAAATCCCCAGCCCCTAAGCTGTTTTTTGAGATATAAGTTTTTTCCACATTTTTTTGTACAATCTTCCAAGAAAAATTCTATTGAAATCTTCTCGTGTATACTTCATTATTCTTCAGAGTACCTTTCTGGATGTTTCTCCTCACATATAGAGTCTAAATTTTTTATTATACCTTTTTGATAAAGCTTGATTGAGGGCCTTCCTTCACTATTCTGTTCCACCCAGTATCCCAGTTTGGGAAATATAAAGGAATTCTCTATATGACAATTTTTTTCATTTTTGTTTCTTTGTTTCCTCCCTTCCCCTCCTCTCCCCCCTCTTCCTTCTCCCCGCTCCGCCCCCTTCCTCCCCCACTCCTTCTCCCCCTCTCCATTTTCCTATTTTGTGGTGCTGGGAATTGAATCCAGAGCTTCATACATGCTAGGCAAGCATTCTACCACTGAGCTATACCCACAGCCCAAGAATTTTTTATACTTAGTATATGTCACATATAATTTGGCCCTTGTTCATGTATTTTTCATGCTATAAACTAATTGTGTATATATATCTTTTTCACAAAAGTGTAAAATTTTAAGAGATGGGTCTATTTCTAATATTTGTCCTCTTTCAAAGTATTTTACAGTGCTCGCTTCGGCAGCACGTATACTAAAATTGGAACGATACAGAGAAGATTAGCATGGCCCCTGCGCAAGGATGACAGGCAAATTCGTGAAGCGTTCAAAGTATTTTACAAACCTGCTCATGTAATAGTTTGCTAATAGTTATTTTCCTTGGATCATTCAGAGCTTTGTACTTTGTCAGATTTCAGCTTTTTTTGCTGGAACTATGTGGGAATCTGAGCACTTGATGAGCAATTAATTTTTTTTTCTTATTTCAGGGGTTGGTGACTTTTAGAGATGTGGCTCTAAACTTTTCTCAAGAGGAGTGGGAATGGCTTGATCCATCTCAGAAGGATTTATACAGAGAAGTCATGTTGGAGAACTATAAGAACTTGGTATGGCTTGGTAAGAATATTTCTCTTCCACTCAAGAATTTTCCTCTGAGCCATTTTTGCTTCCTCCACTGGAAATATCTATAGCATCTCACAAGTGCTTCTTTGAATGTCTACTTCCTCTTCGCTAGAGAATGATGGTTTAGAATGGCAACAATCAACATGTTGTGGGAATTTGTTAAAATGTAAATTATGGAGCCCTAGTCTAGATCTACAAAATCAGAAACTGAGGGAATGGGTGCAGTAGTCTGGGTTTTAATAAGCTCTCCAAATGATCCTGATGTTTATTAAAGTTTCAGAGCCACTGTGTTTTCTGATTTAATAGATCTGGGTAGAGACCTGAGAATTTGCATTTCAATTTAATGCCTAGTGATGCTACAGTTGCTCTAACACTTTAGGAATGACTCCAGTGGAAGAAACTTCATCTTCCTTATCCTCCATTCAAGCATCATTCCATTCTTTGACCCTTTCTTGACTGTCCTTTCTTGCCTGGGGTGTGGGACCTGAACACCTGAAGCATATTGATTTTTCTATCTGTCTGTCTATTTCTTGCTTTCATTTTTCGTCCCCTGTAAATAGGACTCTCCATTTCTAAACCCAACATGATCTCCTTATTGGAGCAAGGGAAGGAGCCTTGGATGGTGCAAAGAGAGATGTCACATGGTCACTGTGCAGGTGAGTGACAGATAACTGGGCAGGGAGGGCCACTGTGAAGAGCCCACCCATGTGGTCATGAGGAGGCTGCCCAGAGTTTCATTCAGGTGGCACCTGAAATCGCTTCAGCCTGTGCTTCCCAAGAAACTTTGCTTTCACCTAGTGATGACTTTCCCCATTTTATCAAATTATATTTCTGGCAAATTATATTCTCTAATCTTATACCTGTAACTTGAGTCTCAATCCTTTCAAATTTTTTCCCACTTATGGTTAGAATTGTATATATCTCTAGATTTCTTTGTAGAGCTTTAATTTTTTCAAAATTACTATCAAGCTTATGTATGCACATTGTTTAAGTAATTTAGTAGTTTTACAAGACTCTTTTCCTTAAAAGAGGAATTATGCTGACCTGTTTCCCAGTTGCCTCTCTGGAGGTATTTGTTTTCTTTTGTAAATTCTTTTGATGTTTTCTCACATCTGTAAAGTGTTTAGTATTGTTATTCCTTAATTTTTTTCAGGCTTAGTTCTTATCCTGTATCTTCATACTAAGAAAATAAGGATCTAACACTTTCTTACCCTGAACACAATACATGTACACACACAAACATACATTTCCCATCCTTATACCTTTCAATGTCATAATTTTGATTGAATTACCATCATTCAGTGTTTATATTATTATGGCTATTTATTGTTAGTCTTAGCCATGCTGTGCATATATCATGATTATGTTTTATAACTTTTTTTTTGGTGGTACTGGGGTTTGAACCTGTGACCTCCACACTGAGCTATATCCCTAGCCCTTTTAAAAAAAATTTGTTTTGGAGACATTGTCTTGCTAAGTTGCTATGTTTCCCAGGCTGAGCTCAAACTTGGAATCCTCTTGCCTTAACCCAGAGTGCTGGGATTAAAGTGCACTAACACATCTGGCTTTATAACTTTTGTTTTCCCCAAAATTAATAATGATCTTGAGGTTTTGTTTATTTAGGTTTGTTGCTTAGTTTTCTATATACATATCCTTAATTCAATTCCCAACTCTTTATTAACTGTCCAAATCTCTTAAGACACTTAGTAAATAATCTTGATTTCATCTTGGAGAAATCTCTCCTGGAGTCTTCTGATGCTTCACTCTGGACAAATGGCCCATATGTCTACTTTTACTCAATTTGTGTCTATCTTATGATTAGATTGAGATAATGCATTTTTGAACAGAATGCCAAAAAAATAATATTATGTCCGTTGCAGTGTACCATACTAAAGGATGCATAATGTTGATATCTGATTATCAATGACACTAACTTTGCTTACTTAGTGGTGGTGACATCTGCTTGGTTTCTTTATTGTAATTTTTTTTTTTTAGACAGAGTCTCACTTTATAGTTCAGACTGGCCTGAACTCACTATGTAGCCCAGGCTGGCCTTGAACTCATGGTGATCCTCCTGCCTCAGCCTCCCAAGTGCTGGGATTACAGGCATGCATCACCACGCTCAGCTCTGTAAGTTTTTTTTCTTTTGAGATAGGGTCTTCTGTTATAGTTCAGGCTGGCCTTGAACTCACTGTAGCCCAGGCTGGCCTTAAAATCATGACAGTTCTCCTGCCTCAGCCTCCCAAGTGCTGGACTTACAAGGGTGTGCCACCACACATGGCTCTGTTATTAATAAGTATCTTGGGAAATATAATTTGAGACCATTCAGTTTGTTACTAATTTTTGCCCACTAATTTTAACATCCATTGGTGTATCGTATCTGCAAGTTATTACTGTGGTGTTGACCTAATGCCAATTTTTCTATTTCCCTGTTTTCTTTCCATATATTAATTAGGATTATTCTGTAGGGAAGAACTGTTCCTTTTCTCCCATTAATTTATATGTTATATATGGATTTTTTTCTATGAGGTAAATCCAGTGAATCATTATTTTGTTGCTCAGATTGTTCCTGCTTTGACCATTGTGATCTCCTTCAAGTTGGTTTCTTTGACCTTTTCACATGCCCCTATCCAGTTTTTGAGCACTTCCTTCCTTCTGGCCCTCCAGAGTGTTCCAGGTTCATCTCGTTTTTCTTGCCCGAGCCTTGACTCAACGACTTCTCCAAGGACCCTTGTTCCTATATTGAGAAATGGTATTTAGAAAGAAAAGTGGGTTCTAGGTATGCTTATTGCTACAGGGATGTTGTTACTTTCAGGTCTTCACATCAGATAGAGCTAGGAAATGTATGTAAACACACACATACACTCTCATATTTATTTCTGCCTCTGTAATGTTATATATTAAAACTCTCCATTTATATTAATAACTTCATTCTAGTCTTGATTCATAGGATTTGTTGAGCCTTTCTCTTATTCATAATGTCTTTGCCTGACAATGAGAAACAATGTATTTGTCTGCTCATTTTAGTATTCCTATTTTATATGTATGTGTATGTGTGGTTTAGCTTAGTCCTCTGTGACATACAAATTTACCAACTAGGTTCTAATATTTGTGTAAGGTTCCTTTTTGTCTTCAGTCTTACAATATCCAGTCAAAATACTATTTGTAAAGTTAATTAGGTTAGATTCTTTTAGGTTCATTTGTTACTGTTTGTATTCTATTTTGGGTCCCTGACAAATGCTGATTTGTTTTGGTTGTTTATTTTGGGGGTATCTGCAACATTACTTGCTTCCAAGTATCATAGCTGTATAAAATATATCCTCAGAAAGTTAAAATACTTCCTCAAACTATAAATTCTGTTATTTAAAAATATTTCAACATATATGCTAGTTTGTTTCACTTATACTACTAGTTTATCTTAGCTCACTAAAAAGAAAGATTTGTGCTATTATGTTTGCTTCTTTTTTATTTTATTTTATTTTTATTTATTAATTTTTTGGGGGGGTACCGGGGATCGAACTCGGGTCCTTGCGCTTGTGCAGCAGGCGGCAAAACCACTGAGCTAAATCCCCAGCCCCTTTGCTTCTTTTTTATAATAATCTTTTTTCGTTTATGTCTTGTACTCTGAGTAACTACTTTGAAGATAATGATACACAGGGTAACAACTATTGTTATTTTCTTATTATTTGATTATGAAATTGTTTTATTTTTTCATAACATGAAAATTTAAAAAATATATCCTCAGAAATATGTTTGCTCCCTCCTGATCCCTACTACTGTATTTCTGTTCCCTAACACTTCTTCCTAGCTCTTTCCCACCTACCCCTTGTTGATTATTAATCTCTTTAGTTTCAGGTTTATGCTTTTTATGTTTCTTTTGCACAACTGCACAGAAATATGTGCATCTTCTCTCTTACATGACTCACAACACCCTATAGATACTGTAGATACTATAAATCTTTCTACCTTATACATTTTTGAGTTGCATGGCTATTTTTATTTCTGTTTAAAAGGAAAAATGTTAAGGAGCAGCCCTAATGCTGATCCTCAGCTGCAGCACCCAGACAGATCAGAGTGATATGGAAATCCTTCCACGTATTCTTCCTGTGACATTCCCTTCTACCTGGTGTGGTTCAAGTGTTTATGCTGCTCCTCACTCTATTCTCCTCTGCATCCGAGGAGTATTTTTTTCCAGTACTGGGGATTGAACCTAGGCCCTGGAACCCCCCAGCAGTATACATGCATTAAGTGTGTTTCTCTTGATACCGTCTCTTAACATTTTTGGTGTGGTACTGAAGAGTAAACTTAGAGCCTTGGTATTGAACTATATCTTCAACTCTTTTTACTTCTTGAGATGAAGTTTTGTTAAGCTGCCAAATTGTCCAATGTGGGCTCAAACTTGCAGTTCTCCTGCCTCAGCCTCCCAGAGTAATGGGACTACAGGCATATTCTATTATGCCTGTCTTCACCAAGATTCTGATGGAAGGAAGGCATAAAATGTAAGGTTTTGGGTCATACTATTGGTTCTAGCAACTTTTTTTCTTCAGAATTTTTTAATATTATTGATCATTTTGTCCATGTGTTCTTAAATAATTTTCTATGTTCAAATGTAAAATCCTTATAGAATTCTAACTGAAACTGACCTGATGTACATTAACATGATGTAAAAAAAGAAATATGTATACAGTATATTCCTTTTTCTTTTGGTGCAGTTATATCTTATATTTATTTATTTCATGATATATTTTAGGATATTTTCATAATACATTTTAGGATGTTTTTAGAGTTCCTGCAAACCATACTCCCTTCTCTCTTCCAGTTACTTATATGCCTGTCATAATATGCACTCATTCCCTTTACTTCAAATGCTCTTTCAGTGTTTTACCATTTGCAATCTGGCTTCTGCACTTCTGGTCTGATTAATCTAGGGGCTTTTCTTAATTTTCATATTCCTCAGCTTACTTATGTATAAGATAATTCTGACTACTATCTGTTTTCTTTTTTCAAAACTCTTTTCTGATTTTCTTGTCCCTGTAACTGACTCATGTTCTTGCTTTTCTGTCTTGAACTATAAGATCTTTGTCACATTAACTTGAATCTTTATCCAGTACTGTCTAATAGAATGTGATGATGGAAATAATCAGTATTTGTGTTTTCCAGTACAGAAGCCACCAGCCATATTTGATTTTGGCACTTGAAATGTGGTTAGTGTGATTGAGGAACTAAAATTTTATTTTAGTTAATTTAAACTTAAATTGCCACATATAGTTAGTAGCTACTATATTGGATAGCATGGCTCTATATGTACATTTTTTAAAAGAGGTGATCCAGTCTGTGTTTGTGTCATTGGTCAAGCTATTCATTGGAACATAATTTGGGGATTAGGAGTAAACCTCCTTTCTTCTTGAGATTTCCCTATAGGTCCCGGATTTTTTCCTCCAGACTTCCTTCTAGAATCTCCTGGGGTTAATGCCAGTAATCTAATGATAATTTACTTCATTAGTAAAGTTGACCCTGAATATCTGCAGGGTTTTTGATCCAGGCCTCCTGGTAATGCCAAAATCCATGGAAGCTTAAGTTCCTTATATAAAATGGTATAGTATCTCTATGTTACTTTTTATGCCTAACATAATGTAAATACTATGTAAATATTTGTTAGACTATTATTTAGGGGAAAATGCCAGGAAACAAGTATATGTATGTTTAGTACAAATGGCATTTTTTCCCCCAATATTTCCTATCCTTACTGGGTTGAATCAGTGGATGCCGAACTGGCAGATACAGAAGGCTGCCTGTATATTTATCTGTTTATCTGTGCCACACCAATTCAGCATGTGGGAATATTCTCAGTGTAGTAAGACCTTCTCTTCTTCCAACATCATAGAACAGCCTACATTCTGATTGGATTACAAAGTTGATTATAGCCTGCCGTCTAACTTCCTGCCGTCTAATTCTACTGGTTGTAGAATATAATCAGTTGGAAATTACATATCTCTGATATCAGCTACATTGCCTGGATCCTTTTAAACCCCAAACTGTTTACTGTTTTAACCTTTCCTTTTTTTTGTTTTGTTTTATTTTTTGGTACTGGGGATTGAACTCGGGTCCTTGCAGTTGCAGGGCAGGAGGCGGAACCACTGAGCTAAATCCCTGGCCCACCTTTCCTGTTTTTTGTCTTATCACTTGACAATTAACCTATTACATAATTTATGTTCAGACATGGATATAATAATATCTAAGCATACTAGTAACATGGGTGCAAGTATCACTTAAGGAATATAGATTTGTTTTATGATAAGTATCACTGAATGTCTATAATGAGCCAGAAAATATTCTCTTATTTTTGTATTGTTACTTGCAAGGTAACCTGATTTTGCCAAACAGAAAACTGAGCCTCAAGAGGTAGGTTAATCAGTTTGTTAAAGGTAGAATAACTGGCTACCTAGGTGCAGAGTTAGGACTCAAACCTACATTTTTCTGACCACAAAACCTATGTTCTTTTCAATGAGCCACATGAATGTCCATTTGGCTCTCTTCTGCTTTGCTTGAATCCATAACTTTACTTTTCTCCTTGGTTACCTGTGTAGTGAATTTTCTTTTTTGCTGAATGTCATTATGATACCATTAATTTTTAAGTATTTTCTCTACTCCCATAGTGAGTATGTCTTACACTGTACAGTAAATTTTCCCAGTTCTATATTTTATCCAGGCTATTTCCCCATGTGGAATTCCTTTCCGTATAGTATTCATCTCATTTTTTTTTTTAAATGAAAGTAGTTGGAGCTCCAGGGACCGTAGAATCCCTCAGGTAGGAAAATAGCTATAGTCTCTCCCATTAGGATTTTTAAACTTGGCATTACATTAGATATTATATAAACTTGCCATTTGCCTAGAATAGAGAAATATTTTTACTTGTTAAGAGGGAATATAGTGGCCCTGGGTGATAGAGTCAAGGAGATCTGGGAGAGTGGGTGAAAAAACTAGCAACAGTCAGGTGTGCTAGTGTACACCTGTAATCCCAGCACTTGGGAGGCTAAGGCAGGAGGATCACTAGGAGTTCAAGGTCAATCTGGACTACATAGTGAGTTCAAGGCCAGCCTGAATTATATAGTGAGACTGTTTCAAAAAAACAAATAAAAAGAATAACAGTATGGACCAAATGGAAGATAAATGAACAAAGCCCACTTAACACTGGGTTTATATAGGGCTCAAGTAAGAGAATCCAAGGCTGTGCATGGGAGGAAGTGACAAAAACAGGGCTTTCCTTGGGTGGAAAGAGTATTTGAAAGAATGATACAGATATACAGTCTGTTCATTGGTTTTCAATTTTTTGCTGACTGAGTATGGAGAGAGTTTTCCTTTTCAACAGATGGGAATTGTTAGGGAAAACATACTAATCTAATTAACTGGAAAATGCTGAAATATGCAGTTCTAAAATAATACTTAACTACATCCAGACTTGAAAATGGTTCTATTATTGAAATATTCACTATATTTTAGAAGCCTGATCATAGCTTTAGAAGCCAAGTTTATATTCTCTAGGAATTATTCCATATATAAGCTATTATGTTTTGATCTCTTTTTCTTGACATTTATACTAATAGCAATCTATATCATATTAGCTGGTCTTTCATTATCTACCATATTCAGTCATTGCACATACTCTCCAAGCTTTATCTCCATAATTCTTAGAGTTTAAAAAGGGAGAAGGACATTGTCTCAGACTGATTTTTACCTCTGGTAGGTCCTGGGCATATGATAATTGGGTATTGTATTTTAATATATTGTCTTATTATTGTGATGTGACACAAAAACAACTTTCTCATTTTCTTCATTTTTGAATGTATCATTAAATTTCTTTTCACCTTGCCCCAACCAATATCTTCTACTGAAAGTATCAAGTGTCTACTCTGTAGGCATCATTTATCTTTCACTAATGAGAAAAGCTGACTTTCAGATTTCTTGTAAACACCAACAAAAAACCCCTAATTTATTTCTAAACCTGATAAAGTCTTAGAAATTGTTGAGTGGCATTAGTGGAAAAAATCATTATATAAATCTGACAGTATTTGTTCATTCATTCATAAAAATACTGTTATTATCCTAGGCACTTGATGCAGAGTTAAGAAGAAAAAAGAGTAGATGCCAGTCCTTGCCCTCATCAAGCTTTGACTTTGAATACCAGTGCAGGATGGTCTAGAGTCTTTAAAGACTAGAGTCAGGGAAACTAATTATGACTTAATTGATCATTCTTAATTACTTACCTTATTGGTATTTAGCTTTGTATGACTTTTTTTTTTTTGGTACCGGGGATTGAACTCAGGTCCTTGCACTTGTGAGGCAGGCAGTGGAACCACTGAGCTAAATCCCTGGCCCTTGTATGACTCTTATGTCTTGTATTTTTAACTGTTTACCTGTCACTTCCTCCCTGTCACCAATACACACACACACCTTCATTCATCAGCTATCTTCATTCATCAGCTATCTTCATTCATCAGCTATCTTCATTCATCAGCTATCTTCATTCATCAGCTATCTTCATTCTTTGTATTTTGCTCATATTACACAGCCATATTTGGGAGAGTTAGAAACACGTACTTTTTTCCTTTCTTTACCCAAGTTAAATTCTTCAACTGATAACAGATTTTTTTCCTAGTAAAAGAATAAAGGAGACATCTGCTTTCTTGATATTTTTCAGACTGGGAATCTTGGTGTGAAATGAAGGAATTGTCCTCAAAATGGTTCACTGATGAAGAAGAAATATCCCAGGGTATGGCATTGGAAAGGATCAAAAGTCATGGCCTTCAGTGCTCCAATTTCAGAGAAGCCTGTAAATATGAGGGTGAATTTGCATGGCATCAGGGAAATCAGGAAAGACATTTTAGGCAAGTGACAACTCTTAAGGACATCTCTACTGGGAAAAGACATAATGAATATAATAATTCTAGGAGAAGCATCCCCCTGGAGTCAGTCTTTTTAACACAACAGAGAACTCCCACAGTAAAACAAGTTCATAAGTTTGATATTTATGATAAAATCTTCTCTCAAAATTCACTCGTAATTGAATATGAAAGACTCCATGCTGAGAAGGAATCTTTGATAGGGAATGAATGTGAAGAACTCAGTCAGAGTACACACTTTAGCAAAGATATAAGAATTCCTTCTGGTGAGATACCTTATGAAAGTACTGATTTTTCAGATCTCTTGAGTTTCCACTCATTACTTACTCAACATCCAACCAGTAACTTTGGAAAATTACCCCATGACTATGATGAAATTGGGGATGCCTTTACCTGTTACTCATTTTTTACTCAACCTCAGAGAATTCACAGAGGAGAAAAACCATATGCATGCAATGACTGTGGAAAAGCCTTTACCCACAACTTCTTTCTCAGAGAGCATCAAAGAACTCATAATGGAGAGAAACCATATGAATGTAAGGAATGTAACAAAGCCTTCAGACAGAGTGCACACCTTGCTCAACATCAGAGAATCCACACTGGAGAGAAACCCTTTGCATGCAATGAATGTGGGAAGGCCTTTAGCCGTTATGCTTTCCTTATTGAACATCAGAGAATTCACACAGGAGAGAAACCATATGAATGTAAGGAATGTAACAAAGCCTTCAGACAGAGTGCACACCTTAATCAACACCAGAGGATTCACACTGGAGAGAAACCCTATGAATGTAGTCAGTGTGGAAAGGCCTTCAGCAGACGAATAGCCCTTACTCTTCATCAGAGAATTCACACGGGAGAAAAACCCTTCAAATGTAATGAATGTGGGAAGACTTTTGGCTATCGCTCACACCTCACTCAACATCAGAGAATACATACAGGAGAAAAGCCCTATGAATGCATGAAATGTGGGAAGTTTTTTAGGACTGACTCACAACTTAATCGACATCATAGAATTCATACTGGAGAAAGACCATTTGAATGCAGTAAATGTGGAAAAGCCTTCAGTGATGCTTTAGTTCTAATTCACCATAAGAGAAGTCATGCAGGAGAGAAACCCTATGAATGTAATAAATGTGGGAAGGCCTTCAGTTGTGGCTCATACCTTAACCAGCATCAGAGAATTCATACAGGAGAGAAACCTTATGAATGTAATGAATGTGGGAAAGCTTTCCATCAGATTTTGTCCCTTAGGTTACATCAGAGAATTCATGTGGGAGAGAAACCCTATAAATGTAATGAATGTGGGAATAATTTTAGCTGTCCCTCAGCTGTTAGACGACATCAGAGAATTCATAATAGAGAAACCCTCTGATTGTAAGAAAGAAAATATTTAGTCACAATTCAGTCCTTTTGAGTAGCAGTGAATTCTGTTTCGTTAGTAATTCTATGAATGTCATACATTTAGAAAAGCCTTCAGTTCGTGATCATCCCTTATTTGAAATGACCTGAGTATAAACATCTGTTACTTTTTTATCTATTCTGTATCCACCTTAACCACCCTCAATGCATATAATTCTGATGAAATTGAACCAGCAGTGGATTAGTCATAAGCTAGCAATTATTTTCTCTCAAACTACTAGTTAGTGAAAGATTGGCAGCTAGGCACTATGGTGGATGCCTATAATCTCAGCACTCTGGGAGGCCGAGGCAGGAGGATCACAGGTTTCAGCCCAGCCTGGGAAACTTGCCAATTTAGCAAGAACATATTTCAAAATAACAAACAAACAAAAAACGGGGGACTGAAGATGTAGCTCAGTAGGAAGGCCCTGGTTTCAATCCCTAGGACTGAAAAAAAAAATAGATTGCCAAATGGCCATGTGTGGACCAATAAATCTCTTTATGGTTATTGTTATGTCAACTAAGATTTAAAAAAAAATTTTGGAATTGCAAGTTTTGAGGAGTCTGTAGGGTTAAAAACTTATCAGTAGTTTTGTGCCACCCAATGCAGAAAGTTTTTCAAAAGAAATCTAACAGAGGAAAATGGAGATGACAGAGATCTAATGATATTGTTTAATTTGGATTCAGCCATGCATGATGTCTCAATGGTCCTTTTTCATTTTTGTGATCCAGTAAATTTCTTTTTTTTTCTTTGCTTAAGTTAATTTGAATTAGAGTTTTGTCTCTTGGAACTAGAGTATATTTGCTATACATTTGAGAAATCCTTAATTGTTTATGTGGTATAATTATTTATCCAAAAGAAAACCTTACGATTATGAAAGTTGAGAACAGTGTTCATAAAGCTGAGAGGATTGTTACATTTGCTGATAAAAATTAATTTAGTGTGTATTAGTCTGTTTCACATTAAGGATGAATGCTTTAAAATTCACCTAGTAAAATTCCTTAATGGGGTTTCTTTTTAGGAGTTAAAATCATTTTTGGCAGTGACTCATACCTTAGGCCTGAAAAGGGAGACTGGAATCTAAGAAAATTATGAATCCATCAGTTTAATGAATAATTTTTCATTTTAAAAGAATTTTCTGTTTCAATGTGGTTTATCTATATTTGTGACAATATAATAAGGTAGCACTGTAAAGGAGGTTTGTTTTTGTCATCAGGCTACAAATGTGGTTTAAGAAGTTTACGGATAACTTTGGAACTAGAGATGTTAGTCACTGTTGGCAGACAAAAAGAATGAGTCAACTTAAAGTACAGATTTAGTGGATTCACTACTTTAGACTGTTCCGGAAAATCATAGAAAGAAATGCATGAAGACACAGAATTCGGGTAAAATAATAAAAGTTTTACTTGCAAGCAGGCAGGACCGCTAGAAACTAGTCTGGTTAGTGTACAAGCACCATGTTCTTTGTTATTCACCTTTTATATTTTTGTTAGTCATTATCTCATCCCTAGTGGTCTTTGTTAAGTAAATAAAGTTCCAATTTCTGCTTAATGGTTAAACACAGGTGGTTTCTGTCACTGATTACAGTCCTAAACACATGACAGTTATGGCACATATATCACAAGTTCAGGGATTGCCACTTTGTTCTTCAGAGCTAGGATATTATCTGTTGTGGAGCTGCAGATCAAAAGGAGCTATACAACCTTCATTTTAAACAAAAGCAACGGGCTAAGGCAAGCTTTTAAAGGGATACATTACCTATTTTGCTCCCACAACTACTTTAACAGCTAATCTACTAAACTTACTTTAAAACTTTTCTCTATCAAGACTTTGAAAAGAAACAAATATGATTATAAAACATCACCAAACTTACATCTAATCTAAAATGGATTAATGTTGTAAGTTTAACTTTTTTCATCATTTCTTTATTCTTCTTATATATCCTGGAGGTATATGAATACTTATTTTAATAATTTATAGATATTGAGTAACTTATTTTGGAAAGTTTTCCAAGGTATAGTAAACTTACTAGGCCTAAAGGAAGAATAATGACTGAGACCAGTACAGAGTCTGAGTTACTCACTGATTGATTTCTTTTTTTTTTTTTATACCGGGGATCCAACTCTGGACCTTGCACTTGCAAGGCAGGTGCTGGAACCACTGAGCTAAATACCCAGCCCATTAATTGATTTCTGATCTAAGAGTAGCATCTGATTTCTTCCTCCAGCGTGACATCAACCCCAACCACTGGTTGATTCTCTGGTTTTACAATTCAGTTTCACTTGTAATGTTGATAATTTTTTTTTTTTTGGTACTGGGGATCGAACTCAGGACCTGCACTTGCGAGGTAGGTGCAGTGCCACTGAGCCAAATCCCTGGCCACGATAAAAATATTTTTTACCCATGGCTTTAGCTTAAGTGTTTGTATTTTGCAATTAGATATTTCTCCTCATGATGAAGCATTAACTTTTGTTTATATGAAACTATTCAATCCATTGTTGTCATACCTGATTTTTTGGCATTATTGAAAATTTATGCTTTATTTCTGATTGTTAATAGCACCATCTAGAAATTTGTGCATGTATGTATGTGTGAGTGTGCATGCATGCATGTGTGTGTATGTGCATGAGTGCATCTGAAGAGGATGTGTATATCCTCTAAAATTTTAGTATTGTCACTGTATGCCAAACCTTATTCTAATCTAGGCAGTGGAGACACATCAGTAAACCAAACAGACAAAAATCCTTACCTTCATAGAGCTAATTTCTAATGAGGAAGACAGACAATAAAAAAATATGAGTAAGTAAAATATATATTATATAAGAGAGTTAAAGTCTAAGGGGAAAAAATGCTGGAAGGGATGAGGGTGTCAGTGAAGGCTTCTTTTGAAGTTGACTTTTGAGTCAAGATAATAGCCTGTCTGTCTACCTATCTACATATCAATGTATTTATTTTACACTTAACTGAATTTATTCTTTTATTTTGCTCACATATTTGTGTGTTGTATTCTACCATTTTCCTTTTGAGTCAAATGATTGTATGGTCTTCGACAATTTTTTTTGGGGGGGGTACTGGACCTTGAACCTGGGGCCTTCACACTGAGATAATCCCAAGATCTTTTCTATTTTTTATTTTGAGACAGGGTCTTACTGAATTGTCCAGGCTAGGTTTGAACTTGTGAACCTCCTGCCTCAGCCTGCAAGAATGAGGGGATCACAAGTGTGTACTACCAGCTCAGCTTATTTTTTATAATCTTAAAATTTTTATATTAATTGTCTTTTGAAACTAAATTGTCAGAATTTAGCAACTGGGAGTCAATTTAAGTGAAATCCTTCCTCCCTTTAGCAGTGCCCTGACATCTTTCCATGAATATATACTTTCTGGTAATAATATGATGTTCCAGACCTATCCTCAGTGTTTCCCACCCAAAGTAATGAAGGTAGCTACTTTCCAAAGAATTTAGGTATGGAGATAACAAGCATTAACGTTCATAAGGGGATATAAAAATTGGAAGTACTTTCCTCTGTAAGACAGACAATTTTCTCAGTAAAAGGTCTTGCAAGCAAGACTTGGAAACCTCAGAATATCTCAAGTGAGATTGCATTTTCTTTACATACTGTATTTTCTGTTTTTTATAGTTCCTGTTACCCAAAAGAAAAAGCCTAACTTCACTGTAGAGCTCACTTTAATTTAAAGTCTATATCTGTTATCTTTCATAAAACTTGAAATTGTTCAGGATTTGTAAAAATAATTGCTTCAATAAGTTAAAAAAAAAAGGGAATTAATGATACAAAAGGTTTTCTTTCTTTCTTTTTTTTTTGGTATGGGGGATCAAACTTGGGTCTTTCTGCTTGTGGGGCAGGCGGTGGAACCACTGAGCTAAATCCCCAGCCCAGTTTTCTTTTTTTTGGTGCCAGGGATCGAACTCAGGTTCTTACGCTTGCTCAGCAGGCAGCGAAACCACTGAGCTAAATCCCCGGCCCCCATTTTTCTTTTTTTTACAAAAGTATTTCAGATTTTTTTTATGAGGAAACAACAATGTAAAACTTGTAAAATTTACTATTTTTCAAAGTCCTTTTCCTTTTAGGAGCTATTATATGTGGATGGTAGGATTGCACATGAATTTCAGGCAGAATTTCTGCCATTATGATTAAGCCCATTTTAAGAAACAGCTGGACAAAACTGCTTCTTTTTAAGAACGTAATTTTAGCTGTACGTGGTGACATGCCTATAATCCCACCACTGAAAACTTGAGGCAGGAGTATTGAGACACTGAGCCCAGCCTGAGCAACTTAGCAAAACTACCTCAAAAATAAAAAGTGGACTGCCTCACAAGCACAAGGACCAGAGTTCGATCCCCAGTACCAAAAAAAAAAAAAAAAGAAAAAAAGGGACTGGGGATGTAACCCAGTGTGAAGCCCCTGGGTTCAATCCTCAGTACTGTAAAAATCAATTAATTAAAATAAATAAAATAAGAAATGAAAAAGGGCTGAGAGTGTAGCTCAGTGAAACAAAAAATGGTTTCACATTGAGTTCTAACTTCTAGTTACATTGATTTACTGTATCCTATTAAGATTTCCCACTTTATTCACAAAACTCAAGATAGGGAGAAAATAGATTGAATGGTGGCAAAAAGTTAATTCCTCAAAGCCACGGGTGACTTCATATACAGTGGACCTTTAAATTATGACTGGCCTGACATATGAACAACTTGGGTTAATCAGTTTAGAATATTAACAAGGTCTGCCTCTTGTTATCTATAGCATGTACCCAGATCTCAGCTGGATTGACTTAGTTACAATCAGCCCTTGGGAACTGATTGAGTTCATAAGTCAAGGACCCGTGGAACTGCATGACAAGGGAATAAATCACCTTCCTGGTCTAGTTTCTTAAAGGCATTTTCTTTCTTTCTTTAATTTTAGTTTTTGTTTTATTATTATTGTTATTTTTTGGTACCGGGGATCGAACTGGGGACCTTGTGCTTGGGAGGCAGGCGGCGGAACCACTGAGCTAAAGCCCTGGCCTATTTTATTTTTAAATTTGTTCTCATTAAGTTTATTGGTACATGATAGGTATACAACATGATGACATTCATCATTGGGAATTTGTACATGTACGTGATGTATCTTGCTTCTTGTTTTTTCCCCATTCCCTGTGCTCCCTTCACCCCTCTGCCCCTCCGTATTTACAAAGACTTTGTTTCTGTTTTTTCCTTTTCTCCATAGCACCCTTTTAAAGAACAAGGATTGGGAGGGATGGCGAGAAAGGACAGGGCCGGAGATCGCACCTATTGATATATTGTATTGCATTGTTTGTCACCAGGAAAACAATAGCTCGGGGTCCCTGGCTGCCTCTTCATGCTTCTAGACTCTCAGGAGTCATCCCACCGGTCTCTGGATCAAGAGAAGATTGTCCAAACCTACAAGCCTCAGGAATGACGGTGTTTTGCGCGCCCCTTTGGTCTGTGAGGTCTTCTGCTCTTCCCGGGCTGGGCAGGTGCAGTAGTGCCCTCTGCTGATCAGTACCTGGATAACGAAATCATTGTGCTTCCAGAAATCCTGCCAGTAGGAGGAGGGAGGAGTTTCCTTTTCTTTTCTTTCTTTTTCTTTCTCTTTTCTTTTCAGGGCAGCTGTCCGTTTTCCCAAGCGCGCCCCTCTTTACTGCCGGAGGAAAAGCGGGGCCGGAGCGGTCGCCTGGAGCGGCCCACCGGGCTTCTTAAAGGCATTTTCACAGTAACACTTCACATAATTTTCTAGCAAGAGCAATAGAAGTATTTGCTCTTTTGATTATTGGGACAGGAATGGACTTGGGGGCTAGAAGTGTATATAGACTGCTACCGACTCTTTAAGGAGAATTTGAAGTGATTTCATGTCTTTCAGGCTCAGTTTGGTCATCTATAAAATGGTTCTGTGAGGATTACTTCAAAGAATGGAGCATATGTAAACAGTTAACACAGGAGTTATTAATGATGAAATCAAGCACAGGGACTTAAATAGTATGCCTGATGGGATACAGAATTTTAAATTCATTCCTTGGGTCTTATCTCCCAGTATAGGGGTTGAGTTCCAAACAACAGTGGTCCCAACCCTTCTTTCCGAACCTGGAGTGGAAGCTAGCGCAAGTTGCTCAGAGTTCTGTCTGGGAGAGCTGAGGCTGTTAGGACTCTGCCTTTCATTAACAGAGGCCAAGAAGAGAAAAGGCACTGTTCTTACTTCATTTTGCATTGAGTTGTTTGGACCTTAATTAATAGTGCATTTTCAAAGTAACTTATGCAACATTTGTTTCTTGGTTTTTCCTTTCCCTATCATTTCCAATTTCTGTTCTTGTCTATAGACATGCATACAGATATGTTTGGAATGCATCCTTAAATGTTTGTATCCTTTATCAAATAGGTCATATATTATGAATTTGAAATTTACAGTAATGCTGTAAATTAGTTTCTACTCAGAACTGATTTTTAGATGAACTATCTTCCTCTATATGCAGTGCTCTAATGTTATTCATCAATTCTAACATTTGTGTGGAGATTTATAGTATTTACTTCATTTATT